GCGCATGAACCGACCCTCAAGGACCACTCTGGTGAACTAGTATGCAGGAAACGCAATTACCCTGATAGACATGCTAAGCTTAGCCCCTTTTTCCAGAGCCAGGGCTGCCACACCAGGCCCCACAGGGATATCGCCCGCCTTCTTTCAAATCTGTTCAGGTACTCGGCCACTCATCAAGCGGATTAAGGCGGCACATACAGGCAACTAGGCGGGCGGAATTCATTAACACATCTGCCTCAAGCTCAGCCAAAAATATGCGCGCATATCCACCACACTGCTCCCAGAAAAAAACCCTATACGCCCTGGGTCTCCCTGTCCACCCCGCCGAGAGGTGGAGAAGGGAGTGGCTGGAGAGAGAAGGAGAAGGGGGTTTTTGTTTTTTTTTATCGTACGTGGGAATAAATATCTAGCGCGCTTGGGGGGGGCACCTGAGAAGAGGCGCGGTGCCGCTGGGAGAGAGGGGGTATCACTCCCGAAGTGGGAAGGGCGCAGGAAGCGGGCGCGAGAAGAGGCTGAACAGACAACTCTGGGACTGCACATGAGGAACAGCAGACCCACTCAAGATCCGGTAACTGGTCTCCCAACCAGCACAGCCACACGCAGGACTGACCAGAAGTGAATGGGACCACTGGCCCTAGCCCTCATCGGGCTTGTAATGAGTTTACCGGGATCGGACTCTGCTCGGTAGCTCCGGAGATTGGCCTGTACGGCAGAGGGCGTCTCTAACTGTGGTATTTTGGCTGATTATAGGATGTCTACTCCTGCCTCAGGCCCTACCCTCCTCCTGGTTGGGGCACTCGCCCTAACAACTGTGGCAGAGAAACCCTGCCCTGAGGCTTCTTACGCTAGGACTTAGATTCCCTCCACTAACAGAATTACTGGAGGCTTCTGGACCACGGGAGGTTTCACGGTCAGCACCTACACGCCGAAGACGTGTTATAGTCAGCGTGCGCCACATTGGGGAGACAAATACTGGACTGGCACCATTACGGGCCCCTGCATAGTGAGCGCAATTAGAAAATTTATAGACAACTATAACGTGGAGAGCAACAGCTCACATAATGGCCTTACGAGGCTATCGCCCACTGGGAAACGACGCCCTATAGTAGACACATAAGGGCAACAAGGGGGGAATGATAAGGGAAACCCCCATCTAGTGCTTGCCGCATCGGGCACTGGAGGAACCCCCCCAATCACGGAAGATCCACATCTGCATCACCTGTTACCTGGTCATCAACTAGTCCATTGCCTGGCACCAGCGTGACACTAAATCTGTTGCCTGTCGCATCAACATAATATTAACCTATTGCCTGACACATCAGCTAACCTACACCTGATACCCCACCTCTCAGATCACCCCAACTTCATAAAAGTGTGAAAAATCGGGTGGATGGTGCTCAGAATTTGGTGGTGAGGCCCCACTGAGCCCGCCAGCGAATAAATTTTGAGGCTCTGACTCTCCGAGTGCCGCTTGGTTTGTCCTTGGGACCACCCGCTGTAACACTTGCTGTAACAGCATGAGCTGAGAGTGAGGGACCATCACGCGTGTGGTGGGACAATCACAGACCTCAGAGCCAGAAAGGAACATGAGTGCGGACTTAAACCATCCGCTTCAAACCCTCCCTTGAGACGGTGGGCTTGATTCCGCAGGCTGAACCTTTGACCCCGGCCCAAGTGGTGGTTTCTTACCAGGGTAACAGTGGGGGCTGGCGTCTGGGTGCAGACGTGAGGCAGAGAGTTGGGATTCTGACACATCCAGAACCTACACCCAGGGCCCTCCTGTGAAACCGAGCATGGGGCTGCCACACAGTTCTTGGCCCAAGTGCCCCGCAGGGGGAGGGCCGGAGCCCGGAGTGCAAGGGTAACGCTCCTAAAGTATGCAAAATGGACCAGCACCACCACCCCTACCCTACCCCACAATGCCCCCTCCCCCAAGAAAGAGGAGGGAACACAGAAGATGAGAATATGAGAGCTACTTTAATTGGATAGTTTGCTGTAAACTGGGGTCAGGAGAGGACAAGAGCAGGTGATGAGAGGAAGCCGTGGGTGAACAATAAACGGAAGGAACCAGCTAAGCCGCAGCTCCTGGGCTCCAAAGGTACCAGCTGCTTGTCTTGTAGGAAGAGGCTGGGTTCAACCTGTCAAGCAGAGCACAGTCAGGCTGGGGCCACGAGCCAGGCAGCCCATAGACCCGCAAAAGTCACCAGCTTTGCCAGAAGAGGAATGGTACGTGTAACACACACTCACTCACTTAAAAGGGCCCGGAACTTTTCAGTGAGGCGCTGCATGGACACTGCAACAGAAAGGCATGACCGGGCAGGCACTCCAGAAATAGGGATACCGAGACCCACCCCCTTCCCGGGGGAACCACCCAGCCCTGCAACCCGAAACCTCGGCAGCACCTGTCCAAGCAGCCCTGGGACCCACTCACCCACCCCCCACCTGAATTAAATGTGGGAATGTCTTCTAAATGGAAACAAAATGTAACACTGCATCTCCTGTTCTGGGGCACACCAGACCATTCAGAACGTGTTAAAAGGGCAAACAAGCAAAGAAACAGCAACGAAACCGGACAAGCTATACCAAGCAGGGAGAGGGGGAAATAAAGGAGGTGGCACTAAACGTGCTAAAGGAAGGAGCCCTGTGGGATTCCTTGGCAAAGTGTACACGGAGCTCATGGGATACATTTTTTTCCGTGCAACCCTTGGCTATGAGTGCACAGAAGGTTCCAGGGCCAGGCCCGCTTGGTTCTCCTCCCCACAGGACCCTCGCTCTCAGGGATACCACCAACACCTGCAGCCCATCCCTGCCCCGTGTCCCCAGCACCTGCAGGAAGATACCGTGGTCTGTCCCAGTCCCTGCCCCAGCCCGAGCCAGGGGTTCATCATACCTAGTTGCTGTTTAAGGTCGTCTCTCTCTCTCTGCAGCTCAGCACACTAGCCCAGCGGACGGGGGAGAAAGAGAAATGATCAGTGTATTCTGGCCTCCTCTCTCCTCATCCTCCCTCTCACCCGTGGCCCTCACATGCCCCACCGCCCATAGCACAGTGGCCAGAGCAGCAAGGAATCCTCAGGGGAAAGGAGGAGCCCTGTCTCTGGTGGGTGGGGGATGGGAGGAGGAGGGCACGACACAGAATTCACTTTAACCTGGACACGGATCCCACCATCCAGACAGGACATTGGTTTCTAGGAGCCAGACCAGGCATTACCTGAGGACAGGCCTGCGCTCCCGGTGGTTGCTGCTGCCTTTCCAGTCTTTGGCCATGGACAGGTGGCTCCTGGTCACCTGAAACACAACACAGAATCCAGATTCCATGCCTCACAGCCTGGAGGAGGACAGGGCCTACTGGGGCTAAAGTGAGGCAGAATCCCCGACTGCTGGCAGCAAGTGGCTCCTGCTCGGCCCAGCAGCTGCCGGATTCTCTCTGGGCCTGCCTTCCCTGTTCCTGTTCCCCAGTGTCAGGCCATCTGTGCCTGTGGCCCCCTAGCATTGTGGCTCTGGGTTGGACGCTAGCACAGCTACAGCCACAGCCAGCCCTGGGAGGAGTGATGGGCAGGAACAGGACTTCACTTAAAAGACTCAGCTCTGCTGTGCTGAGTGTACTTCTGGAGTCAGAGTTTGTGGTGCTGCTACAACTCACATCCCAGGCCTGTCGACACCCGGTTTCCTCTGGGAGAGCTGTCTGGGTAGGCACAGCGCCTGGGAGCAAGGCTCAGCCCCCAGAAGTGAGGAGCCAGAGGCTGCCCTCCTCCACCCCTCTCCCCTCCACTCCTATCACACTCACCAGACTCCCTGCAGGTTGCATGGCCTCTGGGCATGATACCTCCCTGGCTCAAGGCTGAGGCCTGTAAGCTTCCTGGAACTTGCCGGGCTCTGGTGTTGGGGTCGCCACTGCCGAATTCTCCACGATGCATGTGCAGGCAAGGTGGCCCTGGCCTGGGTGTTGGAAGCTGAAAGAAAACTTTCTCAGAGCTGGGCCAGGGCGTGTGAGTGTGAACATGTATGTGCAGGGGATGGGAGGAGGTGGGCAGTAAGGAAGGGAAATCGGGGGCCAGGCTATAATCTTAGTAGCACTTTCTCCCTCAGGTTAGCCCCAGGGCTCAGTCAGGGAAAACCAGTGGATGCTGTGAGTGTCCAGGCCCCTACCACACAGGCTTGGGGAAAGGCTAGGAAAAGGTATTCAGAAGGCTGAAGAGTCTGGACATCCTAGCTTTGCAGCCCAAAATTTACAGGGTCATCTGATCCATCCCAGCCCCTCTCTGGGGAAAGAGGCAGGAAACATGCAAAGTGTCAAGAACAGTGCCTGGCAGGTACCCAGTGCTCTCTTAATGTGTGCCCCTACTAAGATGATTCCGATTGGGCATCCCAGTGACCGTGGACTCACAAGGACAGGCCCTGAGCAAAGGACAGAGTTAAGATGCCTGTGTCGGGAAGGGGAAGTGTGGGCAGACAGCAAGAGGATGTCATACTCACTTGGGCCTTTGGGCCTGGATCTCTATTGGCGTCACTATCATCTCTGGACACAGATTGGGAATCCTTTGCTCCTTCCAATTTCTTACCAGTGCACTATGCTTGAGTGTTTTGTCCACAGGACAGCAACAGAGCTTCTTGACCCCCGAGCAGGAACGACCAGCGATTGGGGAAGGTGCTCCCTCCAGGAACTGCCGACAGTCGCCTGCCCCCATGGACGAAATGACTCTCCCAGGCCCAAGTTTGACGGCCCTAAAGAATTCTTTCTCCTGCCACTTCTCCAGAAGCCCGGGCACTGCCCACAGGCCCACAGCGGCTCGCTTGAGAAGCTGGTGCCTGCTCTCCCACACACACCTCATTTCAGAGAGCTGCCAGCTCTCCAACGGCCTGCCTTCCATGCCTGAATGATCTCGGAACAAGAGGTCAAGAAGAGCCTCTGGAAAGGAAGTCCTCCCTGACAAGCAACTCAGTGTCTGGTTGGTCCCCGGACCTTCGGGCTGCTGCTCGCCCGGGTCTTCCTCCTTTGGGTAAATGCTCACCCTCATCGGCACCTCACTGGAACTCACATTGGTGACTCGGGGTCGGAGAGCAGCTCAACGGCTCTACACGGGAGGCCGCTGGGGAACCTGCCCGCCGCGCTCTGTTACTTTTAGCGCCTCTTTTCCTGGTTCCGCGGGCCCGGACTTCCGGGGCGCCATGACGGGGGGAGGGGCGGGCAGAGGCGGCCAGGGCGCCTCACCACTCAAACCTGCCCCCAGGTCCGGCCCAAAGAACCCGTGGACACTTGGGTCGTGCGGCCTCTTGAGCACGGGTGTCTGCGGAACACCGCGGATAGCCCATCGCTCAGCGGACTTGCACGTGGCCATCGTATTTGTCAGCCAGGTGGACTCGTAGTCTAGATTTCCCCTCTCGTCAGTCGGGGTGCAGGGGGCGCCTTTCGCCCGCCAAGCACAGTCCTTCCTCTCTATCACTTGTTGCGTCCAGCCTCGAAGCCTCGGGGTCTGCTAGCCGCCCTCCCTTCCCGATCCGCGGGTCCCCACATTGGAGGCCGTTAGCCGGCCCGCGGGCCCCGGATAACTTGGCGAACGCTGCCGCTTCCCGCCCTCCCAGGGTCCGAAGCCGGCTCCGAAAACAGAACCTCCCATCAGGAGGAACTCATGTCGCCCGGTTAGATCTTTCCGGTTGTGGCAGATGGGTCGCCCCTTGTCACGGCAGAATGGAACCGCCCACGACGCTCGCCTCAGGAGTAGCTGGGTCATAAGGAGGCGCGGTTGCCTCAAGGCGCTGCACGAGATGGACCAACAACAGGTGGTTTCGGTGACCCTGGTTGACCTCACTGCAGCCTTGTCATTGGTCCGCTTTCCCAGGCTCCACCAATCAGCGCGCGTCTTGTTTGTGCGCCCCTAGAGTCCCAACCAATAGGGACGAGGGCGGTTCGTTTGCCCTGAAGCCTGTCGTTTGTCTCCTTGGAAGCAGGTTGTGTCACGAGGACACAGCAGGGTCCTGACCTCATGCACTCGTCCCACCTCTTTCTCGCTGTCCCTCTGCCAGGCATCTGCTTCACACTGAGCAGCCACGGTCTCTGGCCTCAGTTTCCCTTCTGTAAAGAGGGCTAAGTAACAGCACCCAGCCTCAGGGCCTCGTGAGGGTGAATGATGGCTGGGAGGCGCCATCGTAGGGAGGACTTGCAGGCTCTATTCAGCAAACGCTGCCTGATGCTATAGTGTGGGCAAGGATAGTCCACAGTCATGTAAATCAGAGGATTCGCGGTTTTCTTTCCTACATGTGTGAATCATATGAAAACACCCTTGCTGTTTAGATGGGGCTAGCGCTGAATCTGTATATCGCTTTGGGTAGCGTGGACATTTAATAATCTTCCAATCCTTGATTGAGCACGCGGTATCTTTCCATTTACTCATGTCTTTTCTGTCATCAGTGTTTTATAGTTTTGGTGTGCAGAGCTTTCACCCCCTTGGATAAATTATTCCTAAGTATTTTTTTTTACCCTATTTCGGTGAACGTTAATAGTTTGTTGTTAGTGTATAGAAATGCAAGTGATTTTTGTATGTTGCTTTTCTATCCTGCAACTTTACTGAATGTCTTTATTAGTTGTAACAGCTTTTGGTGCAGTGTTTCAGGTTTTCTATATGTGAGATCATGTCATCTTGAAGCAGAGATCATTGAACATCTTACTTTCTGATTTGGGTACCTTTCATTTCTTTTTCTTACAATAGGTAATCAAATGGGTGCGTGGCTGTGTGCTCATGACACTTTATTGGTGTGGCAGTTGGGCAGGCCAGAGCTTTCCCACCTCCCCAGGCCCCCAGTCCCTCACTGTGAATTTATTCAAGGAAGCAGGAATCCCCATGGTCAACGATCCCCTAAAAGATGATCACCATCACTCATCCTGAAGGTGCAATTATACAACATTTACTATGTGGCTGGCTCTCTTCTGAGTGCTGTAGATAAATATTAACTCATCCTCATGACAGTGCTAGGTCAAAGTACCTACTATTACCACCTTCGTACAGGCAAGGAGACAGGCACAGAGAGGTTCAGCGACTTGCTCAAGGTCATTTGGTGTCATTGGCAGGAAGGAAACCAGGCAGTCAGGCTCCATAGTCCGTGCTTTGTTAAAACTGCAAAACAGCCACTCCCCGAATGACCTGGCAGACCTGCCGGGTACATCTTCTGGAGAAACGCTGGTAGGTGTAGTGGACAAGGACACATGCACACGGATGTCGGTGAAGGGAAAATCGGGTACTGCTCTAAATCCCATCAGTGAGGGGGTGGACGGATGCCACGTGGCATATGCATCCAGTAGGTTAAAACTCAGCAGTCCAAAGGAGCACACGAGGCTGTGTTAACAAACTTCAAAAAACTCTCATGACCGCATGCAGCAAGTTGCAGAACAATGCATAGATTTGCATGCGCATTCGTAAACAGAAAAACCCAAACCAATCCTGTGTGTCATTTGGGACTGCATACAGGTATACGAAAAAATACTTTTTTTTCCGTTTTGTTTTTAAGCCTGGAAAGGACACACAACAAAGGCCTCACGGTGGTGGTGGTGGCATGCCAATTTTCTGTCATATTGCCTCTGGAGCTACGGGTTCCCAGCTTCCCTGAGCTGAGCAGTCCCGATACGTGGGGAGGGGTCCCTTCCTTGGTTTCTCTGAGGCCCTGGAGTGTTAGAATTTCCTTTGCTTGTCACCCAGCCCTACTGCAGCCGCCTCTCATACCTTTCCTCCAGACTCATTCCTTTCACACCTTCCTTCCTCGCTTTCCCGCTCATGTTCCCTGTCTTTCCCGGTACCTCTGCCTTGTACACCCTCCTCTGACTGGTCTCCAGGCGTGGCCTGGGGTGTCTGAACCCTTGCCCGCGGGAAGTCGGGTCCCTGGTTTCTCTGGGTCCACACCTGAGAAGCCCACTGTGCTGGGGGTTACAGGGCAGGGTCGACTGGGTCTGCTAGAAATCGGCCATCGTCCACGTCTGGCAGGCCCTCCCCAGCGCCTGCCTGGGTCTGCGTGACTCCTCACGCTCCCTGCAATGACTTTTAAAGACACGGAGCACTGTTTCAGCCATGTGAGAAGTATAACAACAGGCATGGGAAAATCTCTCGTGCCTACCACCCATTTTAAGAAACATTACCAAGTCGCTCAGAAACAAAGAAAGGGGGCAAAGATGGTGTACATCTTTAATGGACAAGTGTTAAACAGCCGGAGTCAGTCTCCATGGAGATTATCTTTGATAACATATTTCCTCTGGGGAATAGCTGAGTTTGTGGTTTTGTTTTTCAAAACTCTGCTTTAGCAAGATGTCAAAAAAGGAAGAGGCTATGGAAACTCATCTGATTCCAGATATGATGATGGAAGAGGTCCACTGGGAAACCCTCCCTGAGGAATGGGTTGAATTAATCATCTGCTTCGCCCCAGTCCTCCTCTGATCGCTGGTGGATGAGGAAGGTAAATGTCTGCTCTAAGAAGCAGACAACATGACGTGTACGTTCATAGCAGAAGGAAACCATCAGGAACCAGAGGGCTGACCACGCTGGACGAGTAGATGAATGTGCATGTCTAAACAAGATTTGCTCTGTGTCTTCACAGATGAATGAGGTCATGCTGGGAATTCCCTCTGCAGGAAACTGGCCTGACTGATATGCGGTTCTATAAATGCACATGTTTGTCTCAATCTTTTTTGTATAGTTTATTAAAGTATTAATAGTTTTAATAAATAAATATTTTTAGGTTGCAAAACTGACTCCTCATCTATTTTTTTTTTCTTGCCACTGAGGGCTCTGTTGAGAAATTGCCCAAAGCATCGTGGCCCTCACTGGGACTCAGAGCCAAGGCCAGGGGGACATGGGAAGGGGTGACCAGGAGGGGCCCAGGAAAGAGGGGTGTCTACTGTTTTCCCTGTTGACATTTCATTTGGGAATGAGATGCCAAGGGATGTGACTGCTGTGCTTGAAGGCAGTGGCTGGAGTTCTCTGTGCACAGGACAGACAAAAGCCCTTGGGATCATTGCCTAGACCCCCGCTCCCCAGGCTCCTGCCCTCTCCGGCTGCGACACTTGGTTTCCCTCTGGGTGCGAACAAGGACATGGGAAGGAGAGCCATTCCTCATCTTTATATAGTTAAATCACAAACTCTGAATCTGAAGAAAAGAAAAAACTGTGCATTCAGTACTATTTTCTGTGGCAAGAACACTTAAAATCAGGCCGGGCGCAGTGGCTCACACCTGTAATCCTAGCACTCTGGGAGGCCAAGGCCTGTGGTTTGCTCGAGGTCAGGAGTTCGAAACCAGCCTGAGCGAGACCCTGTCTCTACCAAAAATAGAAAGAAATTAATTCGTCAACTAAAAATATATAGAAAAAATTAGCCAGGCATGGTGGTGCATGCCTGTTGTCCCAGCTACTTGGGAGGCTGAGGCAGGAGGATCGCTTGAGCCCAGGAGTTTGAGGTTGCTGTGAGATAGGCTGATGCCACGGCACTCTAGTCCAGGCAACAGAGTGAGACTGTGTCTCAAAAAAAAAAAAAAGTTAC